ACGGATAAGCCAGGGGACAATAAATCTATAGATGAAAGAGCTGCGGATGAGATCAACATTGAGGATGCACATTGCACTGACACGAGTGAGACAAAGGAAGGACAAAAGGGCGAAGAAGGCGATCAACAATCCCGAAATGTAGAAATCAGTAGAAACCTAGAATCTGATGATGTTAACAGGCATGTTGGTGATGACGATTCGAGTAATGATGATTTAGCTTCATCGAGCGATGATATTCTATCATCGTCGGATGATGATAAACGTCCGAGTGAATCACCATCGATGAAGCATTGTTTATGGATGGGTGATAGGGATGGATTCAAGTTGCCATCATTGAGAACAAATGTACAACCAATACCTCAACCTGGACGCCGACTAGCAGCTCAGCCACGCGGTCGGTGTCTTGGTGGACCAAGCTTGATTAAACGGTATTGGTTGGTCCCATCAGCTGTGAGTTGATCTTGATAGAGACATAATACCCAGATGTATATCTACTTTATATGTATCTTTATATATATTTTTATGTAAGTTTCTACTGTTCTGTTGATCAGATTGATGATGCTTGGCCACGTTCTGATGACGATGAATCTTTAATGATGCGCGCCATTGATGGAAATCGAGGGACTACTTTCGAATTCGAAGAATCTAGAAGGTAAGAGGAAGGATGCATAAATGTACCAAGTATGCATGTCTCAAATATGGCCGTCTTGAGTGTGAGGATCCCAAGTGCGTGATTTTCCCAAATTTTATCTCTTTCTAGATATTCTGAGACGCGTCAACAGTTAATTGAGTTGATAAACGATGGATTAGGGGCCGATGCGCTTCCTGAATTTCTCCATCGGTATCCTTTTCATATTGAAGGAAATTTTGTTTGGTCTCTTATTGCGATGAAAGCGGTAAGCAGTCGATGAGCAAGTCAATGCCTTATTGTCATCTATGTGTCCAATCTTTGTGGGACTTTCTTTTTTGGGACCTTTCTTGGGAATATTCCTCTTTCGCTTTCCCTTCAAGGCACGCCACGAAGAAGCATTTCAATCAATACGTCGATGTCTTCATTCATTTCAATCTTCGTTTCATCCGAAATTTTCTCCCTTTTCCCTTGATGCAAGATGTCAGCCTGTTTGGCCTCAAGTATGGCTTCATTTTCTCGTCGTTCATTAATCCTTACGTCATCCAGGTTTTGCTCCACTCCACTCAACAATATCAGGCTCTCTTCCTTTCTGTACTTTTTCTCTATGCACATCTTCTTTCCCTTTTTGGTTCAAATTCAACGGCACTTGAGATCTACAAACTTCTCTATTCTTGCTCTCCCCGACTCCGATCCATCACACGCTCTATTACATATCCACCATTCATCCACTAGACTCAAGTACGTTCACCAATTCTATTCTCCTTCTCTATTTTCTCTTTCCCAGAAAAGTTTCTTTTCTCTATGGATTGTGTCGATCACTTTTTCCCGACACCATTTCTATTCCATCCCTCACAACTCACAAATTAAAATCTTCCCTCGACCTCTTTTTCCCCAACTTTGCGTTTTCTATTGCAGCTTGTCGGTTTTCACGATGTTCTGAAGGTATTTTTCATCTCTTTGTTGACGTTTATTACAGTCGCTCTTTTCAGACACCAAAGCGGCTTTTTTTCACTCAATCGATCATCCGGAAATCTCTCCTTCTCGCTATTGTCTGATGAATCTCGCATTGAAGGGAAATGATGATGAAATTCATTCGATTATTGATGATGGGACATATTTGTTTGTCAATGACGAATTGTATTGGAACATGTCTCCTGCAACCGATCGGAAAATGTCCCAATTACTTATTATGCGAGCGTTGATATTGTATCCCCAATTTATTCAGTACTTGCTTCAGCACCTTCAGCTTTCCAGCTCAGCAATTCCCCAAAGTAAGACTCGGTTGATTCTCCGTGTGGAAGCCTTCTGTTGGATGATCATTTCTCCAGATTCACGCAGCACGCTAACGTGGCATGACATCATCTACTCGCCAGCCTTTTCGTATAATGAAGTCCTTCTTCAGTATGTTCACATCCTTGTGTTTTAAGTTTGTTTTTATTGCAGGCAACGAGACCGACAGATGACGAATCTGGCGACACAACGATTGCTCAGAATGTTTATTCTGAAATCATCAAGATTGTTCGACACACAGCCTGCTTTACTCTATATCCATGAATGTGCAACCATTATACATTATCAATATACATCAAATTTCATGGTGGAAGTATTGGACGACACCCCTATGGCATCAACAGGCGGGAAAGAACCTCCAAGAGAAAAATCCCATTGCTGGGAGCCTGTGAAACGTCGTCGGTTATACCGTGATGTTATTTCGTCATTTAGATCAATTTGGTTCGAAGCACTATCAAAGTTCTATAGAACAAATGGCTTCCATGAAAGATATGGGGATTGCAAGAAACTAGAGTTTGAGGAACAAACTCCTGAAATTCCTGAGAGCTTGCGGCTGTCATTAACATCATTCAGCGTATTGCTGGGAAATAGCCAACTAGGATTAGGACATGCTTACAATGCTCCGTCGTGTTGGTTGTCCCTTCGCTCGAATCCAATATTGCTCTATTTTCAGAGTATGCTCCCATATTCTACTATTGATCATCAAGGTATGCGTCCCTTTTTGGAATTGAAGATCATGTGGGGCTGATCAGGCACGCGTACTCATCCGTTGACTTTCGAGTCAGTGATCAAGGCGGTTTATCATTCTCTCATTATGCCCTCTATCGGAAGAATTAAGCGACTTCTCGGTCTTTCTCGTTTATCTCCACCTTAGGAATGATGCACTACTGAGTAAATTGAAACTATAGAACCAGACAAGACGTTTTTGATAATTAATCGCAGCAAGTGTTGAAACGTCAGTAGTTAAAGTTTAAAGGTGAAAATCACAAAAACCGATCAAATCATTTCTCGCTGCACGAGAGGCTTGAATGTTCATCGTCGTATACGTATTTCTTCGATGAGCTTTTGGCGCAAGCGTTGCAGCTGCTTCCTTTTGCTTGGCGAGCTGTACCACGTTTTTCGAGACAATACAGGGTAGCAGCTTCACCATACAAGAGAATTAAAGCGAGAACTAACAAAAATCTCATTATCGAGCGACGAAAGAAATCAAAAATGTCAAGTTTATTAATTTCTTCAACAATTTGCTTCTGTCTCTGACGAGAAACTGTGGCATCTTCCACATTTCAGCATGCAACAGAATTGAGAACCCCACATTCAACCCAATACATTGACCCAAACATTCAAATCACATTCACTGCACGACAACGAAAACAATTTCACTGACTACACTTGCTCTGTTTTCATTTAATCTGTTGCCTCAAACAACCAGGCAACCTCTGCAAAGCTGCACAGCTTTGAAAATAGGAGAGGCCTGGAAAAAGGACTGAGTTTCATCTCAGGTTTACTTGCTAATAGAATTGCAAGATGTCAAGTCGTCAACCCATTATCCACAGAAATGAAATTGAATCCCCTCCATTCTCTGCTTTTTCATCGACTCCAAACTCTCCAACTTCTTCTGATTTATTGTCTAGTTTGTCTTCGAAGCGCGGACGGGCGGCATGCCTCAAAGGACTCCGGACCCTGTTGCGTTCTCGCACCGTCAACATGCCGTTTTCTGCATTGATCGGAGGTTTATTCATTTTTGGATTTTTCATCTTTTGTGTCACAGTTGCAATAATGCGACGTCAGTCCATTGCAGTTTCGAATGATGATTTGCCAAAGGTCGCCGCAGTAGAACTGTTTGTCAACACGACCCAAAGCCCCCATCGCCCTCCAATCCAAGCGGCAATTCATGTTCCACAAGAAACACGCAGCCCTCCATCTCCACCGACCCCTGTGCCCCAAGAGAATCCACAACAACCATCCAGACCGCTTTTCATCAAATATCCAAATTCAGCGGAAACGCTTGAAGAAGCCCTCGCCCGTAAGGCTGTCCCAAAAATAGCAGGACGTCCGGATGAGTCTCACTTGCACGGCATGGTTGGCGTTGGACCAGACGGCGAGGCGATTTGGAAACCAAAGCCACTCTCAGCCTTCCGTATGACCCATGATCAGAAAGTTGAAGCTCACGCTGGCTACTGTTTTAATACAAAAGTCGCTGAAAGTCTTCCGTTGGACCGTCCGATCCCTGACTATAACTCAGCCTCTTGTCGCGGTGTTCAGTATCCAGCAACGCTTCAACCAGCATCAGTGATTATCGTTTTCTACAATGAAAATTTTTCGGTCTTGCTACGATCATTCCATAGTGTTCTCAATCGCACGCCTCCTCATTTATTAAATGAAGTGATCATTGTTGATGACTTTAGCAATTCAACAACTCATCCTTGGCTGTTTGAAGAGCTGGATAATTATCTTCAGTATGTCCCAAAAGTCGTCGTTCGACGTTTGCATCGCCGTCACGGATTGATGATGGCGCGGATGGCGGGGGTGGAATGGGCGACTGCCCCGACTGTCGTCTTTCTGGATTCTCACATCGAATGTGCAGATCGTTGGATTGAGCCGTTGGTTCATGCAACACAGAAAGATAGAAAAACAATTGTTGTCCCAATGATTCATACAATCGATTTCGATAATTTTGGATTCGAGTCTGGTCATCTTGATGTCTTGGGATTTTCATGGAGTTTGGGACAGACGCATCCCTATCGATCTCATTCCGATTTCGCTCCCATGCCGTCACCTGTTATGGCGGGTGGTTTATTTGCTGCTGATAAGAGCTGGTTCCTGGAGCTTGGAGGTTACGATCCTGAAATGCGTCTTTATGGAGGGGAAGAAATGGAAATAGGTTTCAAGGTGTGGATGTGTGGGGGAAGGCTTGAAGCTCTTCCATGTTCGCGCGTTGGTCATGTTTTCCGAAGTGGATTGTACTGGAACCATCAGGTTTATCGAGTTCCTGGTGAAGAAATTCATAGAAATAAACTTCGTACTGCTGAAGTTTGGATGGATGACTATGCAAAAATTGCGAAAATTGCAATTCCAAAGCTACCAGACGACATGTCAATTGGGCCCTTAGACGAAGTCAAAGCCGTTCGTCAAAGGCTTCAGTGCAAGTCTTTCAAGTGGTATTTGGAAAATGTGTTTCCTGACTTGAAAGTCCCAAAAATTGAAGGTGGAAAGGCGGGTGCGATCCGCAACCCAAACTTGAATGCTTGTATCGATTCCTTACTGTTGAAGAGTTCTGGTAGTCCAGTAGGAGCATATCCTTGTCACCATCAGCATGGAACTCAAGCATTTCTTCATGACGCTGATGGATTCATTCGAATTGCAGATACTGATTTCAAGTTGTGTCTACGTGCTGGAAAGGATGGTCTCATTGGATGGGCTTCTGGGGACAATCATGTTACAGCAACGGACAATTGCGATACTCATGAGTGGATTTACCAATCAGATACAAAGCAACTCAAAGCAAAGCGTTCCCTTGACGGACAACAGACAGCAAAGTGTTTGCAGGTCGTTAAGCAAGAAACACCGAAGAGCCCTTTCGATTTGCTGGTTGCTGATTGTTCTGATGAATCAAAATATCAGAAATGGGAGTATGATCCTGTCGAGTGATGAACTGATACTTTCCGTTTGCTTGTACCAGCTCTCGACGTTTTGGCAGGTGGGAACATCAATGATGTGGAATCTCTAGTACCGAGAGGGTTTTTTCTCAAGGAGCTGGAATATCGTGTTTCAAGGAGCTCGCCCAGATTTCGTTCATTGTTGTTTTGATTATTCGCTCTTTCCATTGACGCTTTCACGTGTTTTTGTTTGCCATTACTTCTGAACGACGATTCTGATGAGTTCAGCAGCCAAACGACCGCGACAGTTTACATAGTTTAGTTTAGTTTTGCGTCCAATGCGACAAAGGAACCCAATCTTTAATTTTGTCTTCCAACGAGCTGATTGTTGCATGAGTCGCCCAATGCTTGATGAGTTCACGAGCAAACAGGCAGTACTCCTTCCCTGATTTGATTGTAATTCATTTTCTATTTTCCATCTCTCCTACCTGATCGTTCCCAAATTCGTCTTCTGAAGTGACCCATCTCTTTTCGAAGCTCTCTGCGCCTCTCGAATATGGCCTCGTGTCTCTCTTGCTCCGTTCCTTCCCCCAGCGAACCGCCTGCAAAAGAATTCGACGTTGATATTGAAGAGCGATGGAGACTCACAAATTATATTTCCTGTATCAATCAGATCCGTTCGCCTCTCGCCATAAGTTTGATACACTTTTTCGAGTTTCTCATAGAGACTGTGCAAGTCTCCCAAAGTGGGAATGGCACTTACATTCCAGAAGAGTGAAACAACAATCACCAGAAGAGCTAGTGACTGCCTCTTCATGAATTTTGAAGAAATGGCAGAAATTAAGTGCATGCGCGATGTAATTTTTTTGTGATCGTCATGAGCAATCTTAGCAAAATTACATTATATATTACAGAAGGCTTATAGAGACACTTCTTGAAGCGTGCTCATTTCAGTAGCTGAGAAGTTGGTTCGTGATCTGTCAAAGAGCTGTTGCCGAACCGGCGGATGGGGGTGCGAGAGTGGGTTGGGGGAACTGTGACTGAAGTTGCCAACCTTTTAGCAGGCACCAAATTTGTACAGCCTGGGACAAAGAAAAAGGAAAGCTCCCAGACGTGGGAAGTGACTAGACAACACGCGGACACAGCGATCTGTGCCATGACTCTAGTGGACGATCACGCCATCTAGCTACCCTAAGTTACGGCTCAGTAGCACATGAGCAGTTACATTGTCTCGTAATAGCTCAGTGGTTCTGCCCACTGCCGAAATAGCTTGTTAAAGTTTATCCAGTGGGCACGCTCATAACACCGATTTAACTCAGAAAGTTTGTCCGTTGCACGGCAATGCCGGTACCGCTCATGTCATGAACACTGGGCCAGAACAAATTTTCACAATGAAGTGTGCAGCTTTGTTTTTGTTGCTATCTTTGGCTTCGGCTGCTTCGGTGGGTGGTTTATTTGTAGGATGAAGGAAATGAACACTCATTTAATTTTTATTTTGCAGACTTCAACCACCTCAGCTCCTTCCCGGCCCACTGAAGTGGCTACAAGTGAAACTTATGCACCACCAAGTGACACAGCACGTCAAAGATATACAGATGTCACCACAGCTTCTCGGAAACTTAAGAATTCAAAGTTCACAGCGGTACCAGCCCGAACAGTTGAATCTTATACAGCCTTCACAGCTGATGGAGAGAACACGACTGGAGGTTTCAGATACTCAACTGGTTCAGTAGATGCTGTAACGAGCGTACAAAATCTCAAGTTCATGTCTTCTCAACCAACTGAAACATATACAGCCTTCGCAAGTGATCCTCACACAACTGGACGCCGAAGATACTCAAGTTCCACAACCAGACGTCCAGTGCGAAGGTCCAGAGGTCCCACGTCTACACCGATGTCTTTTCGACCAGCTGATACAGCCTCTGCTGCAAGCTCCGGATCCCCAGCATACACAGCCGGGTCTGCTGCAAGCTCCGGATACCCATCATACACAGCCGGGTCTGCTGCAAGCTCCGGATACCCTTCATACACAGCCGGGTCTGCATACACAGACACAGATGCCAGATATTAATATTGACCATTTTGCAAATGTTCAGCGTATCAACGAAGGCATCAATGTATCCTTCTATTAATATTTTCGACATCTATGTTAAACAACTTGTCACTCAGAGCACACTTCATTCAACGTACACAGAAGACGATACTTTCTTGCACTTGATTCCAGTCTTCGCACTTGAGAGAGTGACTCGAAAAAATCTCTGGATGTCTTTTTTGTTATTGATGGTACTTTGTCGATGGATATATAATTGGGCTGATGTAAAATAGCATACGTCAGTTTCAGCATTCAAAAATCAAGATCAGGCGATCTAACGGTAAGTGAGACGAACATTCGTGATTCAAGGTGCGTCCCTTAGTGATCCAGAAAAAGCGCTCAGTCTTTTGAATAATGATGGTTCCGTCTATCTTTACTAACGTGAAGCTATGACAAGGTGTGCGAGCTTGCCAACGCATCAGTACCAGAGGAAATCCAGATCGTCAGTTTCCATTTCTTTGTTGATTGTCTGAACGTCTTTGCGGGCTTCACTGTAGGCACAAAAAAGGCAAGTTGAAGGCGAAAGAGTCGTCCATTTCTCTGATCTTCTGGGAGAGTATCCTCTCGACGTATCTCATACAGAGGTAGGAGGAGGCTGTAGTGAACGATCAGATATTTGTTTCCTAGAGGATCCCCAAACGAGGCGGAAGGCATACAGGAAACAAAAGGACGTCAATGTGTTGTTTCTTGTCCCTTCTCGGGGCCAACACATTGAGATGGACTGTGAGGATTCCAAACACAATAGCAAATATGCACAGTATGCACCCTAGTAGAATTACGTCACGATTTGCAACGTTTTTTTCAGTTGTTCAAAGCACCTTACTACTTTTAGTTGATTAATTGCTAGGAAATATCAAATTGAAAAAAATTGGTATGCCTTACCTCAGGTGCCCAACGATATTATATTCACGACTTTCAGCGATGGTGGTTCCCTCACAAAGTGCTGGATGACGTCGATGTGCTTCGTCCGCTGATGAATTTCGGGATTCGGCCATATGCTCAAATCCGTTCGACAACTTTCAAATCAGCCGCAACAACTGTCTCCCAAAAGAAACAACAAGCTGGGACATAAGAAAAATAATTGACCGACCTGCTCTTCGCTTCAATCGTAAGTTCTCGCTGAGAACCACGGAAGTCTGTTCTCCAGATGTCCAGAAAAATCGCAGCACCAGCCATAATGTAGATCTTTTCCGTAGTCGAGGAGAGTGAGCTCGCCTGTCCAATGTGGAATACAGCAGGCATGATAGGCGCCACTAGACGACGCTTCTTAACCTGGTCAAAATCTACTTATTCGGGCGAGGGAAGCACCACGATATCCGGAAGGGCCTCGTACTGCTGTACTCGTCCAGCATTGTGCAGATTCGACTGTCCGCATTAGACCCGATCAGCATGGATTGTTAATCTATCAAGGTAACCGGAGCTAGGTAGATTAACCATACAAGATCTGTACTTCACTATCCCGCCTTTCGTGAAGAACACCCAACAAAATCCGGTAAATTGCGCTCCCGGATGTGGATGAGCACGCCGGTGTGCGCATCGATGTTCGTCACCAAAGATTCCAAAGTCCCCTGAAGACTTGCTACGATATCGTAGCTCCCACAGCACCGTTGTAAATGGCAGAACCTGAGTTCTTCTGTCGCTGATCGACAGCTGGGTCAATCTGACTCTCAACCTTTCTTTTTTTTCTCTAATCTAAGTCATACGTTGGTCAAATCCTTTACGAACGTTTGAGCCACTACAAGAAAGACGCCTTTGGTCGGTATTTCAAGTTTAAGACCCTTTTATGTCGGAAATAAATTCGGCAAACTCACCCAGTTCATGATGCCCAACTGGTGTCGCCTGTTTCTTGGCTTGCCACGCAACTAGTACCGCCGTCGAAGATTGAGAAACAGAGGAAGTTGGTAGAATAACGACAGCAAAAGCAAAAAGACTCCGGGACAAATATGATACAAGGTTGGATGAGTCGTCACTTTTGGAGGTACATTCAACTTCATCACCACTTCACACGTAAGTAACCATCAGTTTTCTCTTTACTTCGTCTTCCCATTTAGTCGCGTCGAGAAAAAACGATGATGCATCAATTGGTGGAACATAAATGCAATATTGCAGTACACCATGTTGTGAACTTCTATTCCCAATTAGATAGAACCTTTTAGCCGTGTGAAAATCTGCACAGAGCTATCAACCTTTTCCTTTCTTTTTGAAGCGATTTCTCTTTTATCCAATCCCCAAGATGCCTTCATCTTTTTCTAATCATGAAAGCAGAAATGAACATTCAGAAGCGACAACGTGGGCAGAAAAGGAAGAACCCCTAAGCCCGAATGCGCTCAGCCCGTTGAGCACAGCAGCAAGAACACCTGAAACTCATAAAATCTCAATAGAAAGAAAGCAGCGCACTATGCCCATCCAGTCTAGTTTATTTGATGTAAAAGCAAGTAAAAGGCAATTGTCGTCTAGTTTAAATCTTTCCAGAAATATTTCCTTCAGTGCGCTACTTTCAAATGATACGCAACTCTCTTCTTCTAATCAAGTGTCGCCGATTTCTACTCAACATGACGGATCCTCCATCTCTATTACCCCAATCAATTCACCAGTGCACAAGGTTCCCAAGCGTTTGATGTGGTTTGTCAACGTTGTGCATTCCATACAGAACGGCCCCTCAGAAAGCGATTCAAACGATGACCCTCCCTGGCCCAATGGTGACGGTGCATCCCTCTTAGAAGAATCCAACTCATCTGTCGAATCACCACACAACACGGAAGACGATAGCAATTGTGAACTCTCACATGTCGACAGCCAGAAAAGGAAACGGTTCAGAAAGAATGAAGCTACCATAAAAAAGCAACCGATCGCTTCAGAAGATGTTGCGAAGCTCCCATCGTTAACCGAAGAGTCTTCGAATCTGTCAGGCGACACGCGATGGACCTCCCGTGATACTCTGCGCTTCTTTGAGTTCCTGTGTAGAGCCGAATTCAGCTTTGCAGTTTTTTCAGTCATTTTCCATTCATTTGGCTTACTGGTCAGTGCGTTGATGTTGCGTTGGGTCCAAAATGAGAATCTGGAAACGCCTCTCTTCATCTCGGCTCTTCAAACCCGGCCACAGATCTTTTTCAAAGGTTTGACAGCTTTTTATTTTCTTATTGTGTTACTCTTGTTGTCTTCCTTACGCGTCCTTCTTTTTAAACATATTTCAAAGCAAGTTACCCATCTCGCGTCTATTTCCCCTGCTACTGATGTTCGTCCACGCCTACTTCAATTGTATGGAGGGCTATCATTCAATCTTTCAAGAATTCTGTATTTGCTCCGCACAATCAGTCTCATTCTGTCCGGCATCAACCTCTACGCTCGCAATCCAACAGTTCAATTCGCCTCTTGGAATCCTTTGTTCGTATCAGCTTCAATTTCTCTTAATTCTTGGATTTCTAGGCACTTTCATTTTAGATCTCTTTATTATTACTACTCTGCCATTCTGTTGTTTAATATTTCGCTTGTGGGCATCCATTCCCTTAGAATTATTTTCACTTCTATAGGGGTTCTTTTTTCAATCCTCGCTTCACCAAAATTGATTGAGAGAATCAGTCGTTCCATATTCCAACACGAACTTTAGCTCATCCCGAATTTTCAATATTTTGAGAAACTCTGAAAGACGCAACACAACTTCATTTGAACAAATGGCTTAACACTTCTTTTTTCCCTCTAGTTCTGAATCTCCTGTGTAAATGGATATGCCGGTGGATTATTCAGCTGGAAGGTCAGAGTTGGAGAGATTTCGCTCCGCTGTGAAGAAGCTGATAGCTTGCGTTTCATCTTGTGGAGAAGGAAATTGCTCATCTGAAATATGGGGAACCATCTGTGGGAAAAATTGAGACTCTTGATTGAATTGACGATTTAACGATTCAAAACAAGATAGCGTGAAAAAGAAATTAGAGAAACAAAGAAGGAAAAACCATCATGAATAAAACGGAAACAAATTTTCAAACATTAGCGACGATGGTGTTTCTGCAGAAATGGTCTCCCGGTTCTCATCGCTAGAAGAGCGGTCTGGCGGAAGTGATTGAGATTCTGAAGTTTTTGTTGCGAGACTGTCTTGTCTCCTGCAGCTTGGTGTTGTTGAATAAAAAGCTTTGGATGAAATTCGGTAAGCCATTGGCCTTCAACCGCAGTGACGGATCTCATATAGAGTTTTGACGTTTCTACAAGTTCACTGAAGACGACATATCTGTTCAAAAGGAGAAATCATACAACAAATCTTGATAGCACGCTCACTGTGGGTTTATTAGGACGACCAAACAATCCACATGAAGGATGTAAATGAACAGGAGTTCGAGTGGGCTAAAACAATAAGGAACAGAGGTGGATAGACGGAAAGCAAAATGAATGAACGAATGAATAAGATCAAGATGTTCTGATTACCTCAATCACATAGCGTGCAGTTGAATAGTCCTTCTCATTGCCGCTTGTTGGTATCGAACTGCTTGATTCCAATTTTGCTATTTTAGTGGGGAAGCTTTTAACCAAGCAACGTCGAATTGCATCTAATCCTTGAGTTCCTTCTTTTGAATGAGGATCACCTGCCAAGCAGCTTGGAATTGTAGAAAAGCCAATGGAATTTGAAAGCAAGAGAGCCTGAAATCATAGATACTTGTCGATGCACTCCTAAAGTATTGACATCGATACGGATAACAAAATAGCTACAAGAGTATCAAGACGGACTTTCAATTGCTTTCTTATGTTTTGCGCTTTGAGCAACGATCTCTGATTCAACCCAAATGTTTTGCAGAAAGACTGGCGGTCTCTCGGTGACGTATCTTCCCACATAATATACGCGTTCAAGAAGCTCAAGTGGTCTCCTAATACAGACACAACTTTCTTTCGCGCTAGCTCCATCATTGGATTCGCTGATACTCCACGCGATAAATCATTCGATGGAGACAGTAATGCTTGTTGCTGCGATGTTCTCCCTTCTGATCGTTTTGAGATATTTGAAAATATTGGATCAGAATTAAGGATGGAGACGATTGTCAAGACTTCAGCGGTACATCCGAATTCATACGAATCCAACAAAAACTTGCCAAATTCAGGATCAACAGGCAGCGCTGCAATCTTCTTCCCAAATTCTGTCATGTCTCCACTCCGATCAATTGCGCCAATTGTCGTCAATAACTGCAATCCTTTTTCCAATGACGCCGTATTTGGTTTCGATATGAAAGGGAATGACAAGACGTCTTTAATTCCTAAAGTTTTCAACTCAAGAACAACTTGAGACAAGTTGCTTCGTTTAATTTCTGGGTCTGCTTGAACGTCCATTCGAAAATAATCCTGTTCTGTAAACAAGCGGTATGACTCCCCTGGTCCCTCTCGACCGGCTCTTCCGCTTCTCTGATTCGCCATCGCCCGCGAAATCGTTTGTACTGCGAGAGTTTCAACTCCTGATCGTGGATTGTACGTTTTAACTTTATGCAATCCAGAATCGACGACGTAGCGGACACCAGGGATAGTGACAGACGTCTCAGCAATATTTGTTGCAAGAATGATCCGACGAGAATCAGGAGAAGATTTCTGGAAAACAAGTTGCTGCTGCTCGACGGGAAGAGCTGCATAAATCGGAAGCACACGGAGATCAAGAAGATATTCTGTATCGCGCGATTGATGACAAAGGTTTGTTCCACAAAGAATCCGCCTGTTGGAATGACTGTTGCCATCAAACAGAGACGGAAGACAAAGACTCCCAACGGATTGAAGAAGAAGGGATTCTAAATCATCAGCTGACTTGATTACACCCTCGACGTGCTCCTCATCAGGATTTCCCCCAAAAGAGTTCTGTAAAGCGCCCAAGGAACTGCGCAATTCCCTCAACATCTTCAATTCTTCAGAACCAAAACGTTCCAGAAGCTGTTGCAGTTCTTCGTTGCTGTGAACTACATCTGTGTCGGATTCTGTTTTATGATTCGATTCCTTTTTTTCCAGAGTCCATCCATAAACAATTTCCACATTTCTGGTGTAATCAAATGTTCTTTCAGTAATTGAATGACGCCCTTCCATCTAGCGAATTCCGAACGAATCTGAGAAGCGAAGAGAAAACTTAGAACGGGAAGAGCATTGGGACATTCCATCTGACATCGTCTTACCTTATGAAGTTGCTTAGCCTTCTCTTCCACTAAGTTCCGTGCTAATTCGATTTCCTCTTGACCCGGAAGAAACGCAAGTATGTCACCTTTGTCCTTCGATAGATGAAGCTGAAGTAGGGTGCTAACAAGTCCCTTGAAAAAGCAATTTACAAAAAATAAGCAGTAACTAAAATACGCCAGTCACTAGGGCGTAACACAATCATTACCTCCATGTATTCTTCCTGTGATGTTAACGAATTGTACGTGGCCACCGGAAATTGACGTCCAGGCACTAAGATGACTTCTCCGTGTCCCAAAAAAGTGGTAAATGCACGGTAATCTAAAGTGGCTGACATTACAACTATCCTTAGTGAAGGACGAGTTTGTAGCAACGTTTTTTAAAATTCCCAGAAGAATGTCCGTTCTTAATGACCTTTCATGGGCTTCATCAATTATAATTACAGAATATCGGCGTAGTTGTGGATTCAACATCGCTTCTCTAAGAAGCATTCCATCAGTTAAAAACTTAATTTGAGTTTGCCTAGATGCACGGAATTGGAATCGGACTGAATATCCAACCAAACCTCCAAGTTCTTTTAGAGAATCCTGCTCATCTGAAGATTGATCGTTGGACGATACAGTTGATTTGTTTTCTAGTTTTGACTTCGAGTGAAGTGGTGTTTTGATTGGAATCATTCTTTCGATGAGATGTTGTCGCCAATTCACTCGATAGTTTTGCTCTTCTCGCCTTCATTTCCTCGAGCACGCGCGTCGCTAGATTGATTGCGGCAACTCGTCGGGGTTGCGTTATCGCTATGACAGGAGGACTGCCCTTCTGTTGACGATTATTTAAATCAGCAAGCAGCATTTGAGGAATTTGTGTCGTCTTCCCCTGAACCTGTTTCACCGATTATCATTGTTACTTGGTTTTTTCCAACTGAAATCAAGAATTTTTGAATGACAATTCCATACTGGAAGGGTGGACGTTTCAAATTCATGAGATGAGTTGACTTTGGCCTCAGATTTCTCTGAGATGTCTGATTGAGGAGAATTTCCGTCATCATCTCCTTGAAGAGACGAAGCGGTTGACGCCCCAGAATCACAAACAATTCGAAGCGGAGAGGAGTCGGAATTTAAGGGTTGAAGAGAAGAAGAAAAGCGGTTGTTGGGGTGATGAACGTTTCTCCGAAGATTCGCAAACGTTGGACGCTTTTTGATTGAATCATCACAATGGTCAAGAAAAAAAGAATTGTGTTGTCCCTTCTGCCTTAGGTCGATTTTTGGCCGTTTCAGAATAATTTCACTAACAGTTTCGCTGTCGTCTCTTTTCCTTTTTGGAAGGGAAAGCTCTCCATCGTGTTCCTTCTCGGCAGAGGCATCTTCCACCATGACGCCGACATCTTCGTTCATTTCAACAGGACTATCAGCATCACCAGGTCCAGGTTTCCATGCTGGCAGCCAGAAATCGATCATCTCTCTGTCGCCTATTCTCACGTTCTATTCATGAGAGAATTTCAAGAGGGAACTGTCGACCACCTTTTAAATTCTTTCTACTTGGTGTTTCTTCGACGCGTTCATTGAATGGCGATTCCCTGAAGTTCTTCTCGACTGCCAAGACAGATTTAGCTGATCAGAATCATGTGGGAGAGGCAGATGATGGTGTTGCGGAACAGGTCGCAGTGTCGCAGTTTGGGACTATCGAGAAGAGTCCTGTAGATACAAATGAAGGCAAAGGAGCCCGCAAAGGTCGACGTACTAAACTAATGATGTTGGCAGCCCTTCAATTAATCCCACTGGGGGTTGGAATAATTTGTTTGTGTTTGTATTCAAGAAGCAGAGTGAACGAGGAAGCAAAATATCAAGAAATATTGTTATTAAAGAAGGATGATTTGCCAACAGAAGTGAAACAGCTTTCATTAGAGACCCTTGCTCATGAATATTGCACGGTGGGGCATCAACATGTCCTGAAGGGGGTTACTCTTAAATCCTTCAGATAAGTGACCACCAATCCACCAGACGCTTTCTCTCTATTCCGTCAATTCTTACACTATGTACGCCTCTCATTCAGCCCAATATAGTTGTTGTGACTCTAGAAATATATTTGTTCTGGATTTACGGAGTAGAGATGTTACACTCAGGCATCTCCACTTTGCAGTAGAGGTTCATCCTTTCATCGACACCCCTATTCCATCCCCTCCGACTTCATCCCTTGGCGCTCTTATCGAGCAACGCGTGACAGAAGCAATGGCGAAGATCCGTACGAGTATGTCTGTTCCATGCGGCATTATGGCCATCCCGTCAGCCCCTGTGTGTGCAGTTGCGTTCCCTGGACAACGATACCTAAGTGGAACAATCAATCTGCAACTCTCTAGCCAAGCGTCTATGGAGTCTCTAGAAGAAGGGCTTGCCGCTTCGTACATTCTTGTCAGTCCAATTCGGTGAGGATTGCCTCAACCATTGGTGCACTTCCCATATCATCAGCCGTCCCTTAATTGAAGTCAGAGGAGTTCTACATAAACTTCCCGATCACAGTAGGTCCAGAATTTTCCTTCTGTTGGTTAATTGTCTTTCCCCTCCAGTTCAATTCACACCCGAGCTGCTTATTTGTTCAATCAATGGAGACGATGAATTTGGTGGAAGCGTTCGGATACATTTGTCTGAGTTCAACAACTGAATCTTCCAATTTGATGACTATTGATCGAGAGAGATCGGAGAGTTGGGATTGAGGCCGTATCAACCAGAAGCGGCAGTCGAGATAGAAAACAGATTTTTAAGCAAACAGAGAACTAGCATCGCTCAAATACTCGATACAGCTTCTCGAGAGTTGTGAGTATTTTGAACGATCCATCATCGATGAATCTTATCAGCAGGATTAACGAAGTTGAGATAATCATTTGAAGCTTACGATGAGGGCAAAGTAATATTGTGGTTGAATGCGATTGCTGGATGAAAAACGAACTGGAATAGTTCATGGACGAGAGGAGGAGCAGCTGTGACATACGACGGGACATTATTTGTGTTGCAATTAAGGGGGGAGAGTTCCATAATATTCTGCTATACACCGACAGATTCCATCTAAACATGACTTTTCATCGTCAAGTGGAACCTGCGTGGGACGCTGAAAAGGGAAGATTGGGGAAGGCGACACACTTGGCAAGCAATCCGTAGGAACACCATTCCCAATTGATCGAGACCGGGAAAATACCTGCGAAGCGATCAGCATTCTAATTCCTGAGAATTTGTTACCTTCCACAGCACAGGGGAAACTCAAGAAGAAAAGATCCCTTGAAATGGAGAAAATTGGATCAGAAATCCACATGATTTGCACAAAGGAATTAATTGAAATGAAGTGGCCCACCGATGGATCAATTAAAATTCCGAAGTACTCATCGAGCATTCCACGCAGAGGCAAAAGACGGTTCACTATCTCGACTGAGAGCTCACTAAACAAAAATGATGTGATGGGTAGAAATCTCATTTGGAAGAAACGTACTCTGGTGTTTGTTTGAAAGTTTCTGTTCTGTAGCCAGATTGATCGAACTCTACAATCGCGTTATAGATTAATATAGGAAGATTAACACTTGGTGAGAATGCAACCGTAGGAAGTTTTCCAAATCGATTGAGAATCGATTGATAAATCGCCTCTGAACATCAAAGAGAATCAATTTTAATAGAACCGCGGAGCAAAGATACCTTTGAATGTTTTGGCCAAGTTAATCATAATCAAGCTCGACTCATGCTGAAGTAATGCACTGTCACAGTCTACAGCTCCAATGAAGCTTGAATTGATAAGCATTTGGGCCATTTGGGGATGTCCATGGCGTTTCGCTTCACTCTTCAAGTCTGCGATGGTTGCCAAATGATGGGCGTCGCTGTCGGCGTCGACCTCGTCGGCGATTGATTCAAGGGGGTGCACGCTAGGACGCAAGCGAATGGTGGTGCCTCTGTTACTTTCACTCGAAGCGGGCGGAAGAACAAGAAAAGCACGAAACGAAATGGAATTTGCACCTGCAAACCAGAACGAAGAATTTTCTAAAACAATCGTTGAGTGCTGCAATGAGGATTGGAACGGAATGTCAAGCACACTAGAAGGGTATATATCTACAGAATCATACTCTCTGTTGGTTCCTCAGAATCAGGTTGCTCGTCATCATCCGAAGCTGCTTCGACGTCCTTTGCTGAGACTCCGATGTCTGACTGTTCTCCCCCTGGCGGATTTTTTCCAATTTTTCTGCGCTTTGAAGGACGAAAATCAACAAAGGTGCGAAGTTTTGTTTCTCGATTATCGGTGCGCGTTCGAAACACTTGCGATGACTGCAATGTTCGACCTCCGCTTGAAGGAAGTCCTTTTGTTGGGGCAAGATGGTCTCGCGAGAAATCTCTTGGTTGATCTTTCTGCTCAAAGGCCCTCATAGAAACTCTTCTACAATAGAAACCTACATTGCATGCCCGTCGCTTGATGAGATCATCGTCTCGAGGCATAGGAGAGGTGGCCTCTTTTGGGATCGCTCGATCGCTTTCCTCAATGGTAGATCCCTCAACAAACGAAGACGCTTTCTCCGAGGAACCAGAAGTTTCGCCGCTCCAAGAAGGACGTTTTAAGAGAGGAGAGCCTGAGTCACAAAAGAGACCGACAACACGAGGGCTTGGTGTTTGCTGAGAATGATTTCTACTTGTTTGATTTTCTTGATGGGGGCTGTTCAATTCCATCGAATTCAAAAACGATTTTGTGTCAACAGAAGCTTTTTGTAAAGCAAATGGTTTCGAATCTGTACACGAACGCCACACTGCCTGGAGGGTGAGGTGTCGGACGCAATGACATTTGAGCTCTCACTTCTATTTTTTTCGTTAAATTTGCCAGAATTTGATCTCCGTGCAGAAGCAACACCTCTTTTTTTGTTGGATGGATATTTACGTCGACATGAGAAGTTGGAACACGAAAAGACAAATACATCCAGTACCTTGCATTCCTAGGAAGGACCGAATCCTTGATATTCTCGATGGAACGTCTGCAACAGTCAAGATGGGTCTTATATGGCGAGGTCGCATCTCACTTTACAGAATTACTTTCTACTAGCCGGTCATTGATGAATAAAATCAAGTTGGATTTCTTTACAGTCGCATTTGGTGAAGAAATGAAACCCCGAATTTCGAATAAACTGGATGATAAAACCACTTCAATTAAATCATTCACAGAAATCGAGCTTCCATAAATTATCCGAATCACATTCATTGTTCTTATTTTATTCCACTCAGCAAGAAGTCCGTTCTTCGTTACATCATCTCGAACCAACTCGGCGTCTTTCTTTATGTCGCCATCTTTTATTTCGTTGTCTGTCTTCATGTTTTTAGGACAGCAATGCTCTCTAACAACTTCAATCTCCTTCTCTTCATCTTCTAGAAGCCTCCCTACGGTTGAAAGATCTGCTTGAGACTGTCCCAATTTACGGCAAACAAACGAAACACTTGAATTGTGAATGGCATATTTTTGAACAACATCTAGAATTCGGTTGTATTCCTCCGTTAAATTCTTCAGCGCCTTTCGCCGGACAGGCAAGTTATAAAACATGTTTTCTATAACAATTGTTGTCCCTGGGACAGCGGCACAGACTTTCGGTTTCCCCAGTGGCAATCCGTCTGCGTATTGACATGAGTATCCCAAGGGTGCTTCATTGTTTCGTTGACATGTTGTGATCGTCAGATTCGACACGTGACTCATACTCGCCAACGCTTCACCACGGAATCCATACGTACGAATGGAAAGAAGATCTTCAAAACACCGTAACTTCGATGTAGTAAATCTTTCACATACGATTCCAAGATCTTCGTGTCGGATTCCAATGCCATCGTCTGCGTCGGAACGCGTCGTCTAGAGATCCCATTCGAAACCTACCAGTAATTTGTAGAAGTTTCAGCCCTCCATCTTTCACAAGAATCGATATTCTTGTAGATTGGGCGTCTAAAGAGTTCTCCAGCAATTCTTTCAATGCGTTCGCGGGACGTGCAACAACTTCTCCCGCAGCTATCTTGTTAATAACATCCTCTGGTAGTCGTTGGATGGAAGGCCGTGACTCTTTCTCAGGGTTCATCTTTTGACGTGCTGT